AGGTATATTTCCGAAAACTCGAAAACCAAGATGAACGAGTTTTAAAAAAAGGAGTAAGGTTTGAGCTGTTAACAAAAAAAAGGTATATTTCCGAAAACTCGAAAACCAAGATGAACGAGTTTTTAAAAAAGGAGTAAGGTTTGAGCTGTTAACAAAAAAAAGGTATATTTCCGAAAACTCGAAAACCAAGATGAACGAGTTTTAAAAAAAGGAGTAAGGTTTGAGCTGTTAACAAAAAAAAGGTATATTTCCGAAAACTCGAAAACCAAGATGAACGAGTTTTTAAAAAAGGAGTAAGGTTTGAGCTGTTAACAAAAAAAAGGTATATTTCCGAAAACTCGAAAACCAAGATGAACGAGTTTTTAAAAAAGGAGTTTAATCGTATAAGGAATGTGCAAAAAACCAAGATCACAGAACGAGTTTTAAAAAAAGAAGTTTAATCGTAAGGAAATGTGCAAAAAACCAAGATCACATAACAACATTTGTTTAATATATACATGGTCAATCACAAAGACAACAGTTGTCAGATGTTGAACATACATCATATATATACATAAAATTGCATGAAATACGCAAGCAAAATACCAATAGTAGTAATTGAAAATCTTCTTCTTCTTCGTCAAGCACGTCTAAGAGAAAAAACAACAACAAGCAAAATCGCAGTCAAAAACCATCAAAATACACATCAAAAAAGTAAAAGGTACGGTCAAATTAGTCATCAAATCAGTCAATCCAAATCAGTCCCGATTTTTTAAAATTCGTCATATGTGATGTAACAAATACTTTGCCTTGGAAAGATGAATTTATCTATTTCTTCTCCATGGGAGGAGCTGTTGGGGTTTTAGGCGGTAGTGGTGGAGCAGGACAAGCGGCTTCTCTTGTTTGTTGGTGTGATGGTGGCAGGACTTTCGTACTCCACGACGATTCGTTCGTATCACATCTGTTTCTTTGTTCCCAATTTGTGTTAATTTGATCACAAGTCAAAGAGGTGTCATCACGTCCCCAACCACTTCCCCAACCATCATTGTCACTTTTTCCCCAATCACTTCCCCAACCATTGTTGCTACTTTTTCCCCAATCAATATTGCTATATGCCATAGTTTTGGTTAGTTTTTATATCAACGGGAAACGCAAACACAGCAGCTGAATGCTATACGAATAATAACAACGGAATGATTAGCAAATAGGAACACCTCTCTATGCGTGGTCAGTGTGATGCTAACGTACTCCCCCCACCAAACTTATATATAACGGTATGGTGTAACGACATAAATACGTTACGTTATTAACTCATTCGCAAACAGAATTATTCGCTCATGTTCTTCGGATTTTAGTGCGCTATTGAAAGAAATGCAGTTCTTCAAAACTGACTATTTTTTTATAATCATCATGTGAGACTTTACACACACACACACACACACACACACACACACACACACACACACACACACACACACACACACACACACACACACACACACATATCAACCCGAAGGTGCTCTATTCGCTTGCTTTTGTTTATCATAATGGGTACGATCATTCCGAAAACTCATTTTTTAACTTGAAGGCGTTTTAAAAAAAGCGAGTTTTAATTTCCAAATAACATGGCGCCTTGATGACAAGGAAAATGCAAAATCTGTATTCACATCTAAGAAAATAAACCACTCAAAACGTATACAAAAATTGGCATGAAAACAGTCCAAACTCTACTAAGAATACACAACAGAAAAAACCCATGAAAACCAAGATCACATACAACAGTTATTCAATTCACACATCGAAAACGTCAAAAAAACATAGTCAATTACACACAAACACACAAAATTGGGTTGATATTTGATCGTCTCTATTTTACATGTCGTCAGCCGTTGAACCTTCTCATTCACATACATCATATACATACATACATATATAAAATTGCAGGTTCGATGAAAATATGCAAACAAAATACCAATAGAACAAAACTGTCATTATTCGTCGTCATCATAAACGGGTCGGATTGTTATACCCATCTCTTTTATATTGCCTCCTCCTGTGTGACCAAGCAAGGGAATGTTCTGATTGTCACACAAACCCCGGACAAACGGGCAGTTCGGGTACCAGCGTCGATGTTCCATAATTATGTCGTCCCCCATATCAAAGTCCCAGAGTTTTTTCAAACAAAACACGCATTTCACACAGTCCCCCGGTCCACAGTAGATAAATCCGTTTCGAGCCAAATCTTCAGGTCCAATTGCGTAAGCGTCCGACCACATGTCTTCAAACGTATTCAGGCGATCCTCCTCCGAGTAAAAGCGATTTGGCAACGTGCCGTCCAGTGGCTCAAAAATGTGTCGCCTACCTATGTAACCAGTGTCATATTCAACTCTTATGGAACCGTTGTCGTCGTCGTCGCGGATAACATTTCTAATCACTTGAATTTGTCTTCCCCCTCGAGTCTCGTCTTCCCGAACATGTAAGCGTTCCTCATCTGGTGTGATGTCATGGCCGGGAGAAAAACGTCCAGAGATACGTCGTCCATATCCATCATCCATCTCTAAATTATTGAAGAGTCACTAGCAGAGTACTATGTCCAAATTTTAAGTTCCTGGCTCAAACGGTGTTGGCTGTAGCTCTGGGGACAACATAAAACAAAAAGGGGCATAACTTTGGGAAAAAATCAAAAATTCAAAAAAACAAAAAATGCGTTTTTGAAGAGTCACCTACAAGGCATGTTTGCCGTTACAAAGGCATCATTCCTTTTAAAAACCATTTCCCTGTGCTTGTTATCCAACACTGGTGTAATAATATGTGAGGCCCTCTCAATTCTTTCTCGGAATCTGGAGCCATCAGTATGCCAGGTGCCTCGACGGTCTTCTTCGTCTTCAATCAAATGTACAGTTTCAAGTTTCGATACATCTGCAAAACAGACCTTCACAGAAGGATGCTTGATAACAGTGTCCTTTCCGCAGCAACTCCTTAAGCCTGCTTTGGGGTAGTTGCGGGACCATCTGGTGTTGATCTCTTTAAGTTTGGCCTCGAGCTTCTCCTCCTCAGTTGGATCGAAGGGCGAGAGCCCAAGGATCGCTGGATCAATAACAACCTCCTCAGTAGTCTGACACCCTTTCTTTGAAAACACATCTGGTGCCTTGAAGGATACTACGCCTGTGATAGAATCAAGACACAGTCCTTGGTTGAAACCCAAGTCCAAAACATCCACTTCTACATGCTTTCCATCATCATAATCATCTTCTTCATCAGACCACCAATTCCCATCACTTTCATCTTCAGACTGACTGTCTGATTCCACTTCAGCACCAGAAAGAAAAATGCATGCAAGACTAGAAGGAGGGTTACTAGGGGCAGTTTTATTACCTATATCAGTAGTTAATTTTGGCACTGACGTTGTAAGCTTCTGCTTTTCAATACAAACATCACTCTCTAGCTCCTTTGCTGCACAAGTTGGACTAGGGTTTTCAGTAAAAAACACAAAATCTACACTTTCATCATCTGACTCTTTCAAACTGTCATCAATTGAAATTGAAATTGTCACTGAAGGATTGCTAGAACTCTCTGCCTGCTTGAGCTTCTCTCTTTTGCGTTTATTTTGCTTTTTGATGGAAGGCCGTCCCTTTTGATTACATTTCCTTCTTTGAAACAGCACAAATGTACGATCAGTTGTTGACACCACCTGTTTACCCTCAATGTTGCTCCCAACCATATTCTCATCTGTTGAACAGCTGTCTTTCATTGCCTCGCTGGTTTCACTGTCAAGACTTTCTACACTACACTCTGAAATATTCAATTTGACACTGCTTTCCATTGAGTCACTATCATCCACAGCTGCTAGACTCTTTAATTCTGATTTTGACCCTTCTCCAAACTCTGATTCATCCATACAAACTTCTACTGACTGCTTTAAATGCAAATCTGGTTTCTTCACTTGTTGTTGTACACTTGTTTCAGCCAGAGATTCATCATCCTGTTTGTCATTCTGAGTGATTTGTGATAGACTATCCATTACTACTGTCTCCTGGTCATGCTCATTGCTCTGTTTCATAATTCCAGGACAATCAGTTTCTGCGACGTTTCGTTCGAGGCTGAGGCTGTCGAGGACGGCTTTTCTTTGCAGGTGAATATTAGATGTGTCTATATCAGATGCCATGGCACATATTGAAACAGAACAATGTTCACAAACTTTTAAAACAGTCAAAGGACAAGAACAATCAAGGAGTCGTAAACTTTCAAATAAAAACTAAAGTGTGTTGTTGGTCTGACACCTGACGTGGCTATGGGCAGATTGATTGGGAGGTTCCCAGCTAGGTTTATATCCACTTTGTGTTATGACGTTCCCTTTTGGGTTTCATCACTCAAGAATTTCGCCATCGTTTATTTATTTGTGGACACATGACCCCGCTGATACGAGATACATGCCTCTCAAGAATACGTACGGGTCGTTAACGCCACAACGGCAGTGCTTACTAAAATGCAACGGTGAGCGATGCTAGGACCGATGACTTGTTCTGTACCGAAAGAACGTTGTAATGCTACGAACATACATCAAACGATGATTAATACTTCGGAGGATTTGGTGGTGGGCTGAACGCTATGACGACACGGTTGAACCAAGTTTGACGATCACTTTTGTACGTCACAATTACTCTATTTAAGGAAAAAGAGAGACAACCCTTTACTATCCATTGCATTTTATCACCTGACCGAGACAGTTGACATTTTGATCTTCCTTCTATTGTGCTGTATTTATACACTTTAGAATTAGTTCACTAAAGCTTTAAAAAAAATGTAAACATTAGCCGGGTTTTACTAAACTTTAACTTTTAACTAAAGTTTAATAAAAAATTTAAACATTACCCGGTCCTTACTAAACATTAACTGTTAATGTACGCCACCAAGAGGTATAAATAACTCTCTTCATACCATACATTGTCACGAGAGGGAGAGAGAGAGAGAGAGAGAGAGAGAGAGAGAGAGAGAGAGAGAGAGAGTCGTCTGCTACTTCAATGAGAAAAGTTCGAGATATACCTTGGTCTTTCTTCAATCAAGAGAAATGGCGGGTATATTCCTTCTACGAGTACCCTAGGAACGCGGTCAAGTCTGCTTTCAAGCTGGCAGAGGATGGTTTTATCTACAAAGGTATTGATGACTCGGTCATTTGTTTCTTCTGTGAAAAAGATCACGGAGGCTGGCGTCCAGATGATGAAGTGCATGTGGTTCACGGCAGGTTATCTCCTACTTGCCCGATGATCACAAAAGACAACTGCACAAATGTTCTTTGGGAAAAACCAAGAGAGGGTCTGGCTCTTTTTGTAAAGATTGAAGAACCCGGCGAGCATCGTGAGCTGACAGGTCAAGGCAGAGGAAACACAAACATACCGTTAGATGCGGCACCAGGGACAAGACACCAGCAACGCAGCGTGGCTAGTGGGCAAGGCGCAAGACAACAGCCAAACGCTGCGAGATCGAAAAAGAAGAAGAAGAAGAAGAAGAAGCCAAACGCTGGTGGTGCTCCTGCTTTGAATCAAGTTGAGATTGCCGGTGCTACACCACAAGCAGGTGTGCAACTGCCTCGTCCAACTCAGCTTGCAGAGAGGTCAGTTGGGTCACAAGGACAAGCTGTAAGTGGTGCGGCTGCGGTTGTTCGTAATGAATACATCGTGACAGCTCACCAAGTCACAGACACTCGGGCAAGCTCTGTTGTGATTACATCCAGTGATCTTGTCACCAGTAGTGGACAGAATGGCCCTGTTAATTAGGCTAGGCCAGCTGCAAGAGCTGGAAATCAAGCTGAGACTAGAAACACACCTCCGGCAGCAGCTACCACAACAAGAGCAGCAACAGGAGCAACAGCAGCAGCAGCTGCAACATCAGCCAACAGTGGGGCAGCAACGAATACAACTCCAGCCGCAAGAGGGCATACTTCTAGCACACCAGCTCCTCCACCTGTGCAAGGAAACGCTCCACCTCCAGCTCCAGTTGAGCAAGAAGCTCAGCCAGCTCCTGCTCCTGCTCCTGCTCCTGCTCCTGCTCCTGCTCCTGCTCCTGCTCCTGCTCCTGCTCCTCCAGCAGCACCAGCCAATGACAACACAGCAAACCCACCACCAGGAGGTCCCTCCTACCAGCAGCTAGGCATCATCACAGAGAAACCTAAAAGGTTTGAGTATGCTCTCAAGATTGCTCGTCTCAGAAGTTTTGATGGCTGGCCAAGCGGACATCATCTGACCAAAGAAGATCTTTCAGATGCTGGATTCTACTTTGTTGGCTATGGAGATTGTGCTCGCTGCTTCTACTGTGGAGGTGGTCTAAGAAACTGGGAACTGAATGACAACATATGGGTGGAACACGCTCGGTGGTTCGGATCCAAGTGTGCATTTATGCGTCAGACTAAAGGCCAAGCGTTCATCGATGCTGTCAAGAAACTCAATGATGAAGGTTTTGAAGAAATTTCATATGAAGACGTGATGACAGAACTGAGAGGCAGTGCTTACTGGGAACATCTCAGACGTGAACCAGATAGCCTCGAGCGGGACCCCGCTGTCCTTGCTATCGTTGAGATGGGATACACAAGGGAAGATGTTTTAGAGGCAGCAATGTTACTCAGAGGTGAATCTATTCCCGTGTCTTCTGACAAACTGTTTGAGAAACTTGTGGAAGCTAACAAACCCCGCACTGTGACTGAAGTAGAGGACCCTTCCAACAGTGTTAGACACAATATTACCAAGGATAAGAAAACAATTGATACACTGATAGAGAAGAACCACCAGATGAGACAACAAACTGTGTGTAAGATCTGCATGGACGCAGAAGTGTCTGTCGTCTTTCTGCCTTGTGGGCACTTTGTTAGCTGCTCCGAGTGTTGCTCCGCCCTGGAGAACTGTCCTGTGTGCAGAACAGGTATTCGCGGGGTTATCAGAGCTTACTGGTAGTAGACCCACATCGGTTTTGATTGTTGTACCGAAAGATTCTGTGATTACTCTATGAAGCCGAAGTGCTCCGAAGAGCAGAACTCAACCGACATTCCAGCAACAACCACAATAAATGGTTTCAAACATGACATACTGAAACGTTACTATGACGAGACCAAGAATGACGGACAGAACTAAGGGAATAAAGTACCCTCCTCCCAAGGAAAACGGGATATTTGGCTGTGTACGTTTGTTCAGAATAGACTAACTTCCTCTTCCATAATGCTAAAAATTGTGCGTATTCCGTATCCGGACGGCGACGAATTTATAAAAATGTACGCTTCTGATACCCCTTACGATTTTGAAAGTTACCAACTATTACTACAAGGACCGATTTTGTGCGTAGAAACAGAATTGGAAATTATGTTTAAAAACAATCCCGAGTTAGGATCTTATATACCGTTGTACAACCTAGAAATTGTAGCGGCTGACGTGAAAACGCGTTCATGGATCGAAACCGTTAAAAATTATCTATTGGCAGAGGAGGAGGAAGAGGGGGAGGAACAACGAGAAGAAGAAGAAGTTAACGATGATTACCAATTACCTTTACCTCCGCCACCAGTAGAAGTTGATGTTTTTGTTGATGATGGTACAATCAGATTACCTTTTGAAACTCCACCACCATCATCAACGCCGTAATGGCTCGAGTTAAAGCTCTTAATCCCAAACAGTCTTATCTTTGTACATCATGCTATAACTTTATATCTCCTGTTCTGCCTATATATATAAAGCACGTAACAAAGTGTGGTATCAGAAGGAAGGACCGAGGCCGTAACAGCAATATCTTAAACTTATAACAGATATTAGTAGGATGGCAAAATGTATGGCGCTTCTGATGATCGAATCAATTACCAACAAATTTAAATTCCACATGGATAATATCAGCTTTGACAATGGTGATTTTGGCTTCAAATTCTACTTGAACAACAGACGTATTGAACGCATCAGAGCCAATGGAAAAGAACTGTACGGTAAACGCTTGCCAAAAATCACTCTGACGTTCCATCATAAAGACGAATTATTACATGACAAATGTTCCGTTCAGATTCTGTCTACTGAAAAGAAATGCCAACTGTACGAGACTTATCTGCGCACACGCTCTCCTTTGAACGAGCAAGAAAGTCTATTCGACAACGTCATCGTTTGTTACTTGAAATCTGAGGACGTGGATTTGTTGGCAGAATGTCTGTGTTATGGACTTGATGAAAGCAGACACGAGTACGACAAAGACAATGTGTGTACGACTTTGTACCGTTTGTTCAGACCGTACATGAATATGAACACGTTCTGCAATGTCCCCAATTTGATTCAAGATGTTGGCTTACCAGGTGGGAAAAATAGGAAAAATAGCGCCTTTAGTTCATTTCCCCCCGCCTGCAGAGAAGACTTTGAAAACTGAATGCTAACCCAGCTTGATTTTTATGCCCTGCTGCTTGACTGGATGTTAGATTTTTCATTTATGTTGCTGCTTTGACTGGATTTTAGATTTTCATTCATTCATTTCTCACATTGACATTTTCATGCTACGTTGACTGGATTTTCTTTAAATTTTTTCATCTTTGTATTGCCATTTTTGATTTGATTAAAATTTTGCTTGACTTTGTTGGGGAAAACGATTGGTAGAGAAGAAGCGAATTGGTCTTTTTTAAGAACAATAACGCTCTCCTCCCCTCTGGATCCCTTCTTTCATCATTCAATATTTTGTTGTTTCCATTCTTTTCCATGTGGATTGATATGTTTTTTTTGCTTTGAAATAAATTTTTCCTTTTTTAAAATACATTCAAGTTCGTTTTCGAGTTTACGGATATGAATACAACACCACTATACGGGGGTCTATGAAGCAATTTATGGCTCAAGCCTTGTTTCCGTAAACTCGAAAATGCGACTTTGAGCGTTTTAAAAAATGAAAATCTTTATTGAACATAGAATAGATACATCACATTGCACAGTGCATAGGAACAAATTTAATTGAGGTTCACAACACAAGTCATCGTATCACATTTTAAAAACAGTCATACACAAACAGTCAAAAAAAGAATTGCCACTAGTTGTGAGTTGGTTTGGGTTTGAGAGAGACTTAGGAATAGCTGAAATACTCTCGACCGTTGATGATGAGCTGTTGAATAGCTCCTTCAAAGCCCCTCTCTATTCCTGTGTTGGAAGGGACTGTGTCTTTAAAGCCTCCCAGGAATATCACCTTGTTCTTGATATTAAGCATACTGGCAGTGCCCGGTGCTTCTGTTGTGAGGGATGGGTGGTCATCTATTCTCATCTCTCCTGTACGGCCATTGTGCATGATGCTCACTCGGTGCCATTTGTTGAGGTGGATGTGCATGTTACTCTCCAACATGCCTACTCCACTGCCCAGTGAGAAGGTAAACACCAATATCCTGTTCTTCAAATTCAAGGCAGCAAAATCTCCAGAACCATTAGCATTCTGAGTTGTAAACAAAATGACACCACTAGGTTTATAAGCCATAAAACAGACTTCAATCTTCATAGAGGCTGTCAAAGACTCATTGAAAGGGATAGTCAGCAAGGAGTCACCAGTAAATTGTGGAACACTCAAAAGTTCATTCACCAACGGAGCGAAATTAATCAAATTCAACCAATTCATTTTATTCAACCCGATGCCATCGTTGAGCACGAGTTCGCCGTCCACCCAACATTTCTTGACGGTGATGTCGAAATCCGCTCTGTAAATGGACGGGAGACTAACGTACAAGCTCACTTCCGCGCCTAATTCTTCACTCGTAACCACGCTCGTGGGGTCTGTGGGATCCGAAACAATCAGCATTTGAGTGGCTAACGCGTGATCGAAAATCTGTTGGATCTCATCGATGACGATATCTATGTTAGTAACTCCCGTATTTAATACTAGACTGGTGAAATCTTGTCTGCACTCCATGTCGAAGATTTGAGTGTTATCCTCGGTCACTAACCAGTTGTAACTATACACCATCTGGAAAGTGACGTCGTACTCAATTTGACATAGCGCTTTGTCGAAGGAAATCGTGTTGAGGCCATATTTCGAGGAATAAGACGTGTCGTCGATAACGTCTTTACTGCATTGGTTCATATTTGTACCGATAACGGTAACGTTACCCAGCAAGGGTTCGGCGCCTTTTAGAGTCGAAGAGATTCTAAATTCGAAATTGTTGTCCACGCACTCGTAAACCACCAGATTGAATTGGATAGGATTAAGTTCGAAGAAAAAATCCGTCAGAGAGCTGTTTCGATTGTCCCAGTTGATAATTACGAGATATTTGTACCCGTAAAATTGTTCTCCGGTGAAAAATACGTCGGACGCCGCATCTTCGGGCGAAACGGAATCGAAGTAAGCGCTCCAATCGACGTCCTGAAGAGGAACTCCCAAAGCGGCAATATCCGCATCCGTCAACAACGCGAAATTGTGAGATCCAGTAACGCCAATCACGTGATTCACCGTTTTAGAAGTATAAATCTCAGATACGTAATAAGTGGATTGACCACCTTCGCTATTCGTCCAATAACCGTCATTGTACGGACCTCCCGTGGACACGTGATTTGAATGAGACCACAAATCGTAAACTGGCACAGTAGCGGTCGTATAAGTCACTAGACAGACTAAATAGAAGAACGACCACCATTCCATGATTGAAGGTTAGTTTTAATAGGATCAAATTTCTATATAAATAAAGATGTTGGTGTGTGTTGAATGTTTGTCGACTTCGTGCATGTGTATGATCGATGAGGAAAATAGAAATTATTTTCCTCCGGATATCAATAGCATCGACTTGTTATACGAAGAAAAATATTTGGATTTATACGAGAAGATCCTCACAAAATACGTCAGTCGTTGGAAATCTGTCAATTTTACGGACTTGGGCGAATGTATGAACCTAAAAACCGTCACGATGTGTGGGGATGACGTTGATGTAATCGACAACGACGAAGTTTGTAAATTATGCCTATACGATTCCAGCGAAACTCGGTCGGGTCATTATCTGTTAATATTTTATTCGCTTAGTTTACCTTTGACAAATAAGACGTTGGCGGATTTATTCGTGCTATGGGCGCTGTCTCGAAATCAACCCGACAAAATTACGGAATGGATCCAGACCATAACGCCCATCGACGTGGCGTTTCACTTTTTCTTCAAATGCTGCAGCGTGACTTTTAGTCCGGACGAATACGGCAATTTTGTCACCAGACGCGTCCAAAGCGTCAGAACGGCGCTAATCAAATATATTTTCAAAGCTCGCCTGAACGGAAGTCTTCAAAATCCTAAAGAATTGGTGTATATTCGAGACGAACTGATGTATTGTACGACTAATAATAATAATACCACGGCGGCTATAAACAACAAGTTGTGCGCGTGTAATCAAATCAAATCCAACATAGGCGAAGAGCTCATGAAGGGAAGATCGTACAAAACGCAAAAACAAATTTTCGTAGCGGGTACCGATGCTAACACGGCCAAACAAAATCGAGAACTGCAGGCTATTCAATCGAAAGCTACAGCTATTCTTAACCAAAGAAAGGTTTTGGACGAACTGAGCTGTTGTATCATTGGCAGCAACGGCGAGATTTACAATAATAAAGAAACCAACGCCAAATCGCACTCATTTTTACACCCGTATATACACTGGCTATCGTGTTTCGTGCACGCGTTTTGCTTACACTTCGTACAGTCGACATTTTTACAAACGAGGAATTTCTCCTCATTTGGCGGATGATTTGTATTACAAGTGGTGGACGTAGGTTGCAGACTGCTTAAATTCGTAATAATGACATCGCCGTCGTAATCTAAAACAATTGGAGAAGGATTCTGAATTATAAACGGTTTTCCCAAAAACGAGATAGTTTCTACCAAAGAAAACATGTAGTCTCCAACGTCTTTATTGTAGAAACTCCGTAAACTTAACGTCGTTATGTATCGAGACTTATTAACGGCTATGGTCATACTTGGTATAATCTTATTCGTACACACGCTGAAACCATCAAAAGATAACGGACCATTGACACATTTTCTGACGTCCTTGTCGTTGTTGAAAAGGGAAGTAGACGAAGAAGAAAAATTGACGTGACACGGATTAGACGGATTTGTTTCACAATTGTATTGGTTAATATTTATGTTAATGGGTATCTGAGAAGAATCGCAACAGGGATTGGTGGGAACGTTGTCATCACAAATTACAAAAAAAATACTGTTAAAAAATGCGTCCTTGGGTATATCGACAAATGCCAAGCCGATATCTTCCACACAGACTGGAATTTTGACAATATTCTCTATAAATTGGACGTCTGAACTATTTAACGCCGTAGGTAAAGTTGAAGTATTACTATACAAAGCCGGATAATTGCCTCGCAAATCTTTCAAGTCGTGTTCTCGCCTCTCTACACATTAAACGAAATTCTCACCAACGATAAAAATAGAAAAAATAAGCGTCGCAAAACGCCTTTTATTCCCCCTCAAACGAAAAATGGGCTCACGAGAAAACTCAAACAATTCAACTTAGAAATTTCTTTAAACGCAAGTTTGAACGATCAAATCTATTATCTCGTAGCTTGGATTAAAGGCCTCATACGAAGACGTCACGTGTACGATTCTTCTTCTTCGCCAAGTAAAGATTGGAATTTATTACCATTTTACAACAAGGATTCCTCCAATTGGGCTCTACTGGCTTGGGTCGATCAACGCCCTATACTGTACACCACAGCGTCAGCGCGGCAACAGCAACTGTCATACGTATGCGCCGTCAATACTAATGTGGTTATCAATTCCATTTTTTACACCATTTACAAGCCCATCGTGAAGAATTATCCCAGTCGCAGAAAATTGTTCAAAATTATGCAGTTGGCGTATAATCTGTACTCCAACAACGTTATGAGTTGCGACGCGGACGTCGAATATCTGTACACGTTGATCGTTTTCGAAGAACCCTATTTCAACGGCTACGAACACGAAAGATATTTGAAAGAAGAAGAGGTGGAGGATAAAACATCATTAACCCCGTTGCTTTTTGACCAAATATTAGATCTAATCAAAAGAGGAGATTACAACAAGATACACGCCAGCGACGACGTTAAATACGCTACTTCGAATTACGGCAAATCCTACGGAGTCGACGTGCCTTCGTACACCAAAAAATTCGAAGACGAAGCTTCTGTACCGTTGTTAAAATGAACGAAATGTACAGTTTTATTGTGCCGCTCAACGGAGAAACGTACGATTCTGCGATTAATCAACAGCGGTTGATCAAGTTTTCTAAAAATAATAAAATCAAACAACAGTTACAAACGTATTTTCCCAAATACAACGTGGAAAAAACCATATTTGCGTTTCAAACTCCCAAATTGAATCTGGCGAAATGCAGTTTTAATTTTACCTCGAGCATACGATCCATCGAAGACGTTTTACCCATGGATTTCGTGACCAATTACTCCAAATTTATCG